GGTCCCCTGGCTGGATCAGGACCCAGGGTGGGTTTTCTTCCATGGCGTTTTGCACCCAGGCTCTCACGTGTGACTCCTCTTGCCGCTGACCTTGCAGTGTCCCTGCTGCCAACATGTGGCTGTGGCAGGGGACCTGGTGATGTGAATCTGTCTACCACCTTTGATGGCAGGAGGGTTGTGTCTGTGTGAGCCAAATGGGGAGATGCTGTCATCTCCCATGTTCACCCAGCGACGTGTTCCTTTCAGGAGCTGTCATTGCAGTGGCATGGATTTGTGCCAGTCTGTAGTACAGCGATGTGACCATGGCTTTTGTGAGATTGTCAGTCAAAGATGAATGCCCCAGGTCTCTCTTTCCCCTCTCCTTGTACACTTCCTCCCAAGCCCTTCCTTCCCTCTCAGTTGACAGACCAGTCCTTTGTGTCCTCTTTATCCCTGATTTATTCCTACTTCCTCAGTCATAGCACATCCTTCTTGACTTTGTCCCCTTGAAACCTGCTGCATTTTGAGGGTGTATTCAGCGTTCCCTAGCTTTCCCAACTAACAACAGCTGCCAGGTGAGTTAAAAGAAGTTAAGAAAGTTTCTTCCTTTTAGGCTTTTTTGCATCCAAACTTCTCTTGTCCAGGACCCCATCTATTTACCATAGGGTTGCATGTTGTAGAGTCTTGGGATCGTGTCCTGGAGAACCTTGAGCAGAACCATGCTGCATCCTTTAACTCAGCGGTCTCTGACCTTTGCTGGAAATGGCCAATAACAGTAAAAAAAGTAACCACACCATAGGGTAGCATCATAACTTGCTGTCCTTCAGGAGGAAATCAGTCCTTAAAACCAAACTGTGTGAATCCAGGGGGTCTTGTGGAGAATGTGTTATTTGCAAGCCATGGAGTTGAGACTCTGGTTCCACAGGCAAGAGAGTGGTGTGAGACCTTATGCGGGAGCTGACTCTGAGACCTTCCTCTGACCATGGATGGAACCCTGCCTGAAATGGCTGCATTTGCCAGAAGGCTTCCTCTGCTTCAATTTCATGTCCAGACTAGGTTCAAATCTGGTGTAGCTCAGCTTCTGAAAAAAAAGAATGATGTCTTGCTTTGGGTTTGCTGCATGTCATGAAGGTTGTGTAGCACCACAGCCTAACCATGGTCAGAGAAGGAGGTAGGCAGTGTCTTGGCTTTTTTGTGATGAAGAGACTCACCCAGGAGATGTAGTCTCGAGGAAAAGCTTTATATTGTTATGACCTGTGGTATCCCCTCAGTACCGCCACTGCATGTGAAGGGTGCAGCAGAGCAGGGGGAGCAGCTGTTCCTGACAGAGGGAGAAAAAGCAGGGCTACTTTCTACCAAAAGGTCTTTTCCTACAGATCCCTGGGTCTGTAGAGGCTCTGTGACCTTCCCAGAGACCTTGAATGTGCTGATGAAGAGGCTGTTATGGCAGAAGCCACGTAGAGGGATGGTCTGGTCTGACACAGGAGCCCTACGTGGTGGGTCGTGGCATCGCTGCTGGCCACATCTCTGGGGGAAAAGACGAGTGAGCTTGGTCATTGTGGGAAGGCGGTTTGGGTTTATTTTGGAAATACCCAGCTCAGACCCTAAGCTCAGACCTCACTGCCTCCTCTCTCTGGCCTGTTGTTTATTTGCTTTTTTCTTATGGTATAATTACTCTCTTGTAGACTGAGCAGCCTAAGTGGCTGGGTATGTCTATGGCACTGTATTATTTGTCTTCCCAGCTGCTATGATTTCTGCTATCCAGACATGGGTAATAAAAAGACATGCATAACCCCGTTCTCCTTGGTGCATCCTCAAAGGAGTACTACAAACCCTGCTCTATTCTGCAAGCTAAACAGCCAGTCCTCCTTGCCCCTGCCCTCTGCTATTATTTATTAATAAAGCCAAATGATAAATTATAGCCCTTAGAGGCTCAGGTACTGATTGGGACTCCAGGACAGGGGGTGCAGGACAAATAACATGAGCAGATGGGAGAGAAGGAGTGAGTGCCAGCAGCGTACAGAGAGAAAATCCTGCTCCTAGGGCCACTCACGTGGCTGATAGAAGATGGCAAGATAGCCCCAGGCTCCTGCTCTCCCTGCTTTGTCCCAAAAGGCTGCTCCTGTGCTTGCTTGGTGGCTATCCATGCTGGCAGGCTGTTGATGCTCTTTCCTCTGCAGGTGAGCATCTTCCCCCATGAGGTTCACCCTTTTTGAAGCACACTTGTCTGCTGCAAAAGGGACTCCTCATCCAGCCTTCCTGGAGTTTCTCACCGGAGTGTCTGGTTTCCAGATCAAATTTGCTGTCTTTGCCTGGAGGAAGGTTCCCCTTGCCATCCCCTTCCTCTACGCGTGACAGTCTCACCTCAAAGTCAGTCATGATTTTCACCTACTTGGGCCTCAAAGATTTCACATCTGGAGTGTATCTGCTCTTAAGTTGTGTTGGCCAGATGTTAACGGGCAGATTTCGTCTTGTTGTTGCAACTCTACTCTTGGGTGTTGTGATGACCTTTGGGCAGAGGGTTCCTTTTGCAGAAGGGGGGCGGTTCGTTACCTCTTCAGTCTCTGGGCGATAGCAGTTCCCATTTCCCTGTCCTGCAGCTGTGCTGACTCTGCAGGGCTAAAAGGCGCAAAATATAGTAAAATATAGGGGCAATATAGATATCTTTTTAGTACTTGAAAAGAATAATTTCTTCCTAGATCTGTCTAGTACCCGATCAAACCAATGTCTGTTAGAAATATGGATCATAACTCATACGTGACGGGAGCTGGTGTTCAGGGTCGCCACGTGATGTTTCTGAACACAGGACTCAAACAGGGACAGCTTCCCTCTTCTGCTGCTCTCTCAAGGATGGCCTCTTTTGAAAGAGGAATGGTTGTGCAGGGGGAGCTCATCCCATCGCCGCTCTATCTATCATAATAAAGGTTATTAAAAGCCTACGTGACCAGCCTGCGTATCCCTGCAGAGTGAATCCTCTCCTGCTCGCAAGACAGTCTTGCAAACTCTGCAGTATAAGCTTGATTTTATTAAATATTTGCTTGACCAGAAAGGCAAAGCAGAACAGGGTAAACATGCCTAAAGTAAATGTGAAATGACCTTTGTCCGTCGTCTATCCAATGCCTGCGGCTGCTGCGGTAGGGAGGGCAGTGGGAGGTGAAGGTGATCATACAACAGCTTTGAAATTCTGGCTACTGTGAGAATTTTGAAATATTTGGGGTGGCATAAAAGTGGTGGATGCTCTACAAGTCCAGACTTACCCTTTCCACTATCAGATCTAATCAGTCTACAGGTCAAAAGAAGACAGGATTTATTCTCTTTCTTATTTCTTGAAGTAAATTTTTCAGTTCTGCTAGCATTAGCAGAGTTGCACAGATTTGAAAAAGCTGCAAATCAAGACCTGTGCCACTGCCACATCTTCCTCTCTACTGGGATCTGCAAACAGTGATTTTTTTCTTTGCCTCCTACTTGCATGGGGCTGGCTGTCATCACCTTTGCTCAGCTAGTTACACCCTTGATTTCAGCAAAGTCACTGTGAGAGAGGTGATAGCACACTGGCCTGCAGGAGTGGAGCTGGGGTTTGGCTTGCATCCTTTTTAAAATCAAGAACAGTTTTGTGGAATTCTGATTTGGATGTTAAAGAGGGATGAGGGGAGGAAAGACATGTGTGACTCATCCTGGCCACCAGTAACAGGGGTTGTGCAGTCAGCACTCATCAAGGAATTTTGGCTTGTGAGACCTGAGCTGGTAGGACTCCATCTCCCACATGCTCTGTGGGGCCATAAAGGGCCAAAGCTATTCTTGGTACCAGCCATGAAGAAGTGAAGGAATAGGGAGCAGATGGATGTATTGAGTAGGAACATGCATTTCCATGACACGAGGGGCTTTGTGACATGCTCGCTAAATTACAGAAGCTGTTTGAACCCCATACTGCTCCCACCACCCAGGTTAAAACCTGGGAGATGTTAAGAGACTGAGTGGTGCAAAGAAGCCCTCTTCTCTCTCTTTGGAAAGTCACCAGGCTGGTCTCTGGGTCATTAGTTTTCCTACTTCATGGTCCTTTCAACTTGATTACTGCTAATAGTTAGGCAACCTCTTTCTCCTCGGTCATCTGAGATGCCCAGGGGAACCGTATCCCTCTTTCAGACAATGGTTTCTTGGCTGTGCAGTGGGTGGAGACCAGTCTTGTGGTGAGAGCCTGGGGACAGAGAAGACCTGGTGCTCAGCTGGGTGCGTGGCTGCATGCCTTTTGTAGATGTGGCTGTGAAGGCTGGCACACCACAACTCCTCCGTCTGTACTCCAAGCTGGACCGGCATGAGGCAGCTTTGATCTGGAAGCCACAGAGAGCCTGTTCAAACAGGCCTGCTCTGGACTGAGGTCTCCCTGAAAGGATGTTAATGTCAGTCCAGAGCTGGCTTCTTCCCGGCAAGGGTTGCAAAAAAACCTCGGCATCCATCTGGACCTGTCCCTGTAGGCAAGTCCCTGACCTTCTCTAGGCTTCAGTCCCTCATCCAGAAGAGCAGGATAATAATCCTTCTCCAGCCCTGTCTTCTTAGATAACAAATACACAATTGGGTCAAAGTTGGCAGTGCAAACAGCAATACTGCTTGATGTTTCTACCATTAGCCTTCTGCACTGCTCTGGCTTCCAGTGGATTTTTGTGTTGCACCATGGGGCACATGTGTATGTAATGGAGAGTAAAAGGGTGCCGATTTATTATTCTGCTGTGTGAGTTCTGCTCTTTCTACCAGCATCTTTTCTTTCAGGAGGGTTCCCTTTGTGCTGGTTTTAAGTAGAGAGCTCAGAGACGAGAAAGGGAGGATTAGCAATTAAATACTCTCTGATGATGGCATGGTTGTGAAGGAGGGAGGAGGAAGGAATACTCCATAGTAATGTACTTTTGTTTTCTTTTCTCTTTGCTTGTAGGACAACATCTGCCAGGGAATTGGTGTTTTGAAGACTCTTACAGCTTTTAATCTTCATTCCCTTGGGAATACAAACCTTTCTAATCATGTCACCGGCCATGTGGAAATGGACTTGCCTGGTTTCTCACCTCCTGTTATCCACCACGGTGTCGCCTCTTGGTAGGCAGCAGCCGCTCCATCCAAAGAGGCCCTTCATCACTTTCACTGGAGACCAAGCAGAAGGAAACTTCAACCACTTGGTGGTTGACGAAAGAACTGGGCAAATTTATTTGGGAGCTGTCAACAGGATCTACAAACTCTCCAGTGACCTGAAGGTCCTGGTGACCCACCAGACTGGTCCTGACGAAGATAATCCCAAGTGTTATCCTCCCAGGATAGTCCAAACCTGCAACGAACCCTTGACACCCACTAACAACATAAACAAAATGCTCCTCATAGATTACAAGGAGAATCGATTGATAGCCTGTGGGAGTCTTTACCAGGGCATCTGCAAGCTTTTGAGGCTGGATGATCTCTTCAAGCTGGGAGAGCCCTTCCACAAGAAGGAGCATTATCTCTCTGGGGTGAATGAAAGCGGCTCTGTTTTTGGAGTCATTGTTTCTTACAGCAACATGGATGACAAGTTGTTCATTGCAACTGCCGTGGATGGCAAACCTGAGTATTTCCCCACTATTTCCAGCAGAAAGCTCACCAAGAACTCCGAGGCGGATGGGATGTTTGCGTATGTCTTTCATGATGAGTTTGTGGCCTCTATGATTAAGATCCCCTCAGACACCTTTACTATCATCCCCGACTTTGATATCTACTACATCTATGGCTTCAGCAGTGGTAACTTTGTCTATTTCCTGACTCTACAGCCTGAGATGATCTCTCCACCTGGCTCCACCACGAAGGAGCAGGTTTATACCTCCAAGCTGGTCAGGCTTTGTAAGGAGGACACAGCCTTTAACTCCTACGTTGAGGTGCCCATTGGCTGTGAGAAGAACGGGGTGGAGTACCGGTTGCTCCAGGCAGCCTACTTGTCTAAGGCTGGAGCCATCTTAGCGAGGTCTTTGGGTGTTGGCCCGGAGGATGATATCCTCTTCACAGTCTTCTCCAAGGGGCAGAAAAGGAAGATGAAGTCCTTGGATGAGTCTGCTCTTTGCATCTTTGTCCTGAAAAAGATCAACGATCGCATCAAGGACAGACTGCAGTCCTGCTACAGGGGAGAGGGGACATTAGATCTGGCCTGGCTCAAAGTCAAGGACATTCCCTGTAGCAGTGCGGTAAGTGAAGTCCCAAAGTACCCAATCTTAACCTCCTCATATGCTCACAGATCTTAGAGCATGGCTCAATGATTAAAGCAAGGACCAAGGAACTGAGACTACCTTGTCCCAGTCCAGGCTCTGCCTCCAGCTCACCACACCACCCAATTTAACCAGTTCATGCCTCAGTTTGCTAATGGATGAGCTGAGGAAAGTATTATTTTTTGACCTCTCCAAGCGTGCTATGTTCGCTGATGGACTAAGCCAAGGGGCCTTGAAATCTTTGGGAGGAATTTGCCTGTTGTAGTTATTTCACTATGCAATTCATTAAGGGTGAAATCACATTTCCTTGTGCAGACTTAGCTCAAACCTAAACCAAACCAGGACTTAGATAATGTCAATGGCTTGTGCTGGTTTCTGTGTCTGCTGGTGTAATTTTATTTCCCTGGGCTGGAGTCGGAGCAGGATTTGTTCAGGGAGCTTTGTGAAGCTAGGGCTTCGTTTCTTCTAGGGTTGAGAAGCACTGGTCATTAACCATCAAAGTCCCTTGCCTTCCAGCTTCCAGCCAGCTCTGTGTTGCCTCTGCACTGAAAAATTAAGACCTGGCTGCAGATCAAGGATTAAATGTTGCAAGATTTAAGGGCAGGATTGGGGAAGAGGCTGATCTACCTGACGTACAAATAGTCTTAAGAAATTGTCTTAGTTTATTCTGTCAGTTCACTGAAGTGCCATTGCAGAAATCTACATCAGCCCTGGCAGCATACGGCTGGCTTTGATACGATGCACAGAAATCGGCATTACAGCCCGCACTGCACCCAGGCTGCTGTAATAGCCACTTCTCCGGGCTTTGATTTCCTTCCTTAATTAGCTTTTTCAAGTGAGAGGCAAGTTCAAGTCTGAGCAAAGGGAATATGGAGAAACAGTAGAGCGCTTTCCTGCCCCATAATCTCAAGGCAGTCAGGGCTTGGGATATGGGATTGCTCCGGCTTTCCTTTGTACTCAAGCCTCCTTTGCTGGGGGATCCCTGCTGTTGTCCCTTTGCGGGACAAGGACGGACCAAGAGGAATGCAGATGGAAATTTCATTGCAGGGAGACTGATCCTGCCTTAGTCTGCCCTGATTCCCCTTTGTACCAGTGCCCTCAGCATCATTACTTGACCTTGCACTGCTTTCGTGCTCCCACACCGAACATGCAGAGGGACAAGTCCTTTATTTCAGATGGGAGCTCCTCTACCTGGACCTGCAAAGCTCCCTATGGAGTATTGCACAGGGAGAAAGGCTGTGCCCAAATCTGGCTTTGATTTTTTTGTTTAGCCTCAAGGCCTCCGCACATTCAAAGAGCTGCCTTTAGATTTAAGCTGGGAGCTTCCCACTGGAGTTTCTTTCCTGGGCTGTTAAGCCTTTCCGTGCATTTGCAAATCTGCTCTGCTTGTGCTCCATACTAATGTTTGCAATACTGGACCTCTGAAATCAGGAGGTTTGAAACTTCTCAGCCACCTGGCTTCTGCGGCTTTAGACAGGAGCAAAAAATCCGACAGATTTCTTGTGTCTCTTGGTGTGAGTCCTGGACCAAGAAGACTAATGTATCAGACGGAATTTGGAGGGACAGGGTTTCAGAAGTTGGGGAGAGGACAAGGAGCCAGGGACTGGGTGACACAGTGGGGAAAAAGTGTTAGAGCGTATTTGTGACTGCATTTCTTCACTGCGAATCAGAGATGGTAATGCTTCCCAGCTGGAGAAAGAGCTTGGAGATCCTTGAAGAAAAAACAGGAGTCTGAAAAGTGTAGCTAAGTGGGCTGTACTCTCCTTAAACGAGTCTACTTAGAGCTGCTGGCAAGCCCTGTCTGAGATCAGCAGTGCTGCCCGAGGGAAGAGATATTAGTGACTTGGCTGCTGTAAGGGTTGCAGAGTCCAGCCGCGAAGCTTGGAAAATATTTGATGGTTGGTGAAGTATTTTGGAGCCTGGATATATGTCTGTGAGGGCCTCGTCTCCTTTGCTGATGTCCTGCTTGCCAGCCATCCACCAGCACTGCTGCTCTGCCTCTTAGCACATGTATTTAAAGCAGCTTTAAAACCAATTACAGAGCCATCAGTGAGACATTCCCTGGTTTTGTGTGGATGTCAAATATTTCTCTGCTGGTGCAAATAGAGGCTTAACCTGTCTGCAATCAGGGCTGGACCTGAACTTCAGCTCTGCTGCCCTGCCCTTCAGCAGCAGAAATCCTGCATGTGAAAAGATAGAGCTGATGTGCCTGGCATTGAGCAGATGGGTAGAGATGAGCTGTGGGAAACCCTCACTGAGCACTGCAGAGAAACTCTGTTAGAAGGCGTAATGGCTTTAAACTGAAAGAGGGAAGATTTAGATGAGGTATCAGGAAGAAATTCTTCCCAGTGAGGGTGGTGAGGCAGTGGCAGAGGTTGCCCAGAGAAACTGTGGCTGCCCCATCCCTGGAAGTGTTCAAGGCCAGGTTGGATGGGGCTTTGAGCAACCTGGTCTGGTGGAAGGTGTCCCTGCCCATGGCAGGGGCGTTCGAACTAGATGGGCTTTAAGGTCCCTTCCAACCAAACCGTTCTGTGATTCTATGATATTTCAGCCCTTCTTTGTGATATTAACTATAGGACCATAGACTATGGAGCTGGGCTCGCACTGTCCTCACAGCTTGGTGCATGGTCAAGTCTGGCTTTTGGTAACAAATATTTTTCTAATAGGGCGATAACTGTCTCGAAGGGGATCCACATGTTAGGATGCTTCTGTTCCTGCTTTGATGTGATGCTTGCTCAAGGCCACTTCAGGGCAAGAGAAGTCTCTTGGGGACCATTCCTAGCACAGCTCTCCTAACCTGCAATGCACACAAACGGTTACAGGGATGTGGGGAACGGTGCACTTGGCTGGAGTAGTAGAAGAATTTCCAGAATGGGAAATATAAAAGTCCAGAGATGAGTGGAGGTTCCTCAATATTCATTCCTCCCATCCCTATGTTATAGCTGTCCTATTAATCTTCAGCATAAATCAGGAAAAAATGGTGGATTTTTATGTCTGGGCAGTTGATTTGCAAATTGGCGATGTTCACTCAGGTGATGAACAGCTCCAGGTAATACCTCTCTGGTTTTCCTCTCTACAAATACAGGATAATAACTTATATTTAAACAGTACACTTGACCCCAAATGCTTAGAAATTCATATAATCAGAGAAAAATGAGGCTGGGGAAAAAAAAGCGTCTTATGAGGTCATCTGATTTGCCCTTCTGCCCTACTTATAACATTTCTGACAGATGTTTGTCTCACCTGTTCTTAACCTCCAGCGATGGAGATTCCTCTCTCTCCCTACATGATCTGTCTTTGCTGCTAGGAAGCTTTCTCTCACGTCTAATCTAAATCTCCTTTCCTGATGCTGAAGCCATTCCTACTTATATAGCCACAGAGAGCACCTTCATTCCCTTTGGCTATCTAGCAAGAGCATTGTGTGTCACCAAAAAGTGACCACTTTTTTGGTGGAGGGAGGTGCACCAATGTATGGAGCAGCGGGAGTGAGGCTGTGTGGACATGCAGGGTGTTGGCAGAAGGAAGGGCTGTTCTAGAGGGATAAAATAGGCTTCTTAAAACAGAAAGTAGTCTTCATGTTGGATAAAGAAAGCTGTGGTTTAAATATGCTTCATAAACTTTGTAATTAACTGTTGATACAGTTGGGAAATGCTGGATTTCTTTTTAAAAAAAAAAAGACAGTCTGGGAGGACGACGGAGATGAAAATGAGCTGTTTTGATACAGGACTTGGTCATCGGGGGATTTGTTGATTTTCATTATTACGGAATAGGATTAACAACAGGTGCATTTTGAAGCCCAGTGACAGTTGCAGTACTGGGATGCTCAGTAGTGGAGGCAGGAGAGCCTTCCCCTCTACCTTGGGGATCAAGGAGGTGAACTGCCATGTGGGACATACAAGCATGGATGAGGAAGAAGAGAGTATTGAAGACTGAACCCAAAGCAGCATGAGGGTGCCAGGGCCTGCTTGGGAGATACGAGAGGAACAGGGTTCATTGCTGGAACTTTGGTTTGCAATGAAGTCCCAAACGTGGGGTGTTGTTGGCATGCGATCTTGACTGTCAGCTTAGGAGCTGATTGCAACCAGGGCAGCTATCCTGGGAGATCCTGGTCTCCTCATCAGGCAAAGATCTGCTTCACACATCACCTGCTGCTCTACAGACTAACAGACTCCAGTCTCTGAAATGAAAAGGTGTCACCTCCATCGCTGTAGCTTTTACTGGATACACAGCTTAAATATCTGTCCAAGATAATCAAAGTGTCTGTCCCCAACTATCGCCTTGTGCCGGTATTTTCTTTTCCTTTTGGCAGGAAATGGAGTTCGACTGTTTAAATTACTGTATTCAATCTCTTCCTGTTTTTCATGGCAGCGCTGTCATTTGGGGGAGAGAAGAAATGCTTTTGAAGCTGACCAGACAACAAAAGGCCTTGTGTAAAGAGCTGGGCAATATTTTTCCAATACTTTGCTAACAGAGGGCAAGCAAAGTGGATGTTTGGGACCCGAGTCATTGTCTGATGAATGACGTGGCTATAAAACCTTCCTGTGCTTCTGAGGCTTCAAGGCAAACCTAAGTCAGTAACTCCCCAAAGCATCTTTGAAGATACTTATGCCTAGATCATTTCAAGCTCAGGTGGTGGAAGGGCTTTGAGTATGGTATGAGACAGTCAATTTGACTTCTGGTAAGGCCACTGCTGGTGATGCGGTGGCCATGATTTTCCCATAAACAGCCTATTTAATGATTTTCCATTTCCTCCCAGGGCTTGCATTTGTCATTACTGGTGTTAACGGGACACAGGTCTGACAGAGCACCTCTGAGACACCAAGATGGAGAGCAGCCTTACGCTGTTTTACAGGAGGGTTGGCTACGGCACAGTAAAAGAGAACTTGCAGCACAATTGCAGCTCAGAGACTCCTGGATCTTAGTGCTGTGCCCAATGTTCCCAACTGTTGGAGGAAGAGGGAATATCATCCTTGCTATTG